ACAGTTGTATAGGTACATGTAGCCAACAATATACGTTCCTTGAGAAAGCATTTTTTGAGCTTTAAGTCTTGCGAGTAAGCTTACGAGTGCATGCAGGTGTTGACCATACAAGTTTTACGACAGCAATTCCATATCACAGCGTTTGTGTTAAAATAAATTTTACGACTCGCTAAAGAAAGGTGCCATTTTCATTACAAAACAAACTAAGATCGTAATACTCACGTCTGGCGACACTTTTCCAAACTCTCGTGTTGCCGTCAATGCCCCAAAACATCATTTTTCTCTCAAACGAAACAAACGACTGTCAATCGAAACGACGCTGAATCGTGGCGGTTGAATACAAAGCTCTAAATATTTACCCCGTTAACTACAAGTTTTCTTGTATTTCTCGGCATTTCTTTGGGAACAAAAACTTCGAATTGTTCAAATTGTCATTTTCCAAAGCATAAGAAGGAGATATTTGCGTTTAGGTGCCAAAATAATGGTAAAATTTCTGCTCTTTTCTTGTCGTCATTCAACTGATCACGAAAGAACCACACATCACGTTCGCGCCGAAATTTGATTTTGTTGTGCAGTCCTCTCGCACATGCGCAGACGTTATTCAGCCCTGTTACTGTTACCAGTCACCCAACACGACAAGGCCTCCCCCACACCAGACACTGACAGTGTCAAATTTCTCTCACTTCCAACTTTAATCATCCGAAAGAAACATGAGTCTTCCGTGTGCAGAAGAAGTCATGCTGATTTATATAATTTTATCAAAATTCCTCAAGCAGAGCTAATGTTGCCACATGATCTGCTAATGCATCAGTCAATTCCAGCAGTGCCCATCCCCCCCAGGCAATCGCAGGGCATTTGCTCATGTTGTCAGTCCTGGGGGTGGGGCATTCGCAATTTTATTGCGGCCCGGGGGCTGGGCATTTGTGTACCCTGAGGCGACCCCCGGGCATTTGACACATGTGTTTTGGAAAGTGCCATGGATGAGGCGTTTGTTGAACAATGGGTTGTCCGTCAGGGACTAGAGAAACTTGTAGATGTTTTTAAAGGTATGTTTTCTCAATTTTAGGTATTTCTTCAACGAACTGTTTATAATCAAGTATTGAAATAAAATATTAAAGTTGTGAGATTTCTAAAACAATGACAATTGTTTTATTGTAAACATTGTTAACAGGATTGTCGTTATTCTAGTCGAAATATTCAAAACAGATGGTTTTTATACAACAAAATATTTAATGTCATGCTATCCTCTAGCAAACTGTTAAAAACAAAATATAAAGAAATAAATATAATCAGAATCAACTAACA